AAAGCAAGTGACCAGGTGTCTGAATAATTTACCTGTACAACAATAAAATAAGGTCTAAAAAATTTACTGTTTACAACACATTTCTAAAAATGTATTTAATAACAATTATGGAAGTTTATATTTCACTGAAACCTATCATTAAAAGAATATAATAAGGTCTAAAGGAATTACTTTATTATGTTTTTAATTTATTTACTACCAGTGATGGAAACATATTACACTGAAACTTATTACACTGTATTGAATACAAAAATGACCACATGCAAAATATATACAAAAGTCTAAATCTAAAGTCTAAACTAATTTTAGTAAGAAGTTTGGAACAGTCGAGCGTATGGTCCAAAAACGAAAAAAAACAGGACAGCTGAGTGCTAAGCGAGAAAAAAAAATGGCAAAATTAAGTGACATAAATGTTGGAAAACGATCAGGGATAATAAACCTGTAATTTTTGCGCGAGTGTATCATGCCAACACTGTTAAAAGATAAAATTTCTACCTTTGCTGAAGGGAAGAGGGACACCTTATTCATACTGAATGTTTTAAACTACTTAAATTATTAAAAATTGGCCATGATGCATTATATCAAATTAGTTTTACAGAAACATTAAAAACTTTGGAAAGAGTATTGATAAATACAAGAAATCATCTCTCAACCCTAATGCCTTCCTTGAGGATTTCTTTCATTTTTTTATATCATGAAAAAAAACCCACTGCTTTACATGTTTAGGAAAAGGATCAATAAAAATTAAGTAGTACCTTTTATTGTTATTTAATGTTAACTAATAAACTGGCTATGTTGCTATTTTATTTACTATGACTGTCTGGAAAGTAAATAACTTATCTCATTCGACCATAAAAGATACCACCAGAATACAAAGCCTCTACTTAATGCTTGTCTGCTGCAGAAATGTTACAGCTTTGTTAAGTTAACTATATAGCTACGTTCTAAAAATCTCAGGGCTTTATTTCTCTCTCTAACATTGTCAATCATGAGATGTTCAGTATGTTTTTCTTTTCTCAGACAAAACATACCTTTTGTCCATTTGTTTAGTTATAAAATACATCGATAAACATTTTTATTTCCAAGAATTAATCACAAATCACACAAAGAGTTATAGGCGTAATAAGACGGTCTTTTAATTCGTTAACTCGTTTGACTGTTAACTTTTATTTAAGTTTTAGTTTTACCCCTAGTACATCCTCGTGCTTCTGTGGATGTAAATACGCGATAAAAGGTGTAACAATACTCTAACGGTGCCGCAGTGAAATGTTCACAATAAAATTAGAAATCATCACCAGAATTTATTATTCTATTCTACTTACTACTACTTTTATATTTTAGAATCTCAATGGTACTTTTGATTATGATTTGATTAAAACCGACATAATGTCTATTGTGATATTAATACATTTTTAAGATTTTTACAGTTGTGTACATTATAATTTCTTTGTTTATTTATAACATTTCCTTCAAAGTCGTGTATAAATTCCAGATAAATATGTCAGATAGCATTTACAAAATAAAGACAGTTCACGTACTTTCGAATTGCCCTTCGTAAGTTGATTTACAAACTTAAAATATAATTATACTTATTCTTCATTTATATACTGCAGCTATTGTTTCTCGTTTTAACATGAAAGAGATAAAAGTATTCCGGCGGGGAAATCTGAACAGCTGATTTCACACCTGTTTAATATCTTCTTTGACAATATTAGCATCAACATTAATTAAAAATTAGCATTGTCTAATTGACGAGCATTAGCGTATGGCTTGTTACCAAAGCATCAATTTGCAGAAATTTAAATGGAAATATTTTAGATTATTTACTCGTCTGTGAGGATTTAATTCCAGAACTTGATTCAATTATAACCGTTCAGAGTCTGAATTTGAATAACTGTCAGCACTACATTATTATCACAGTATGGAGATGCGTTTAGGAGTTGTACAAGATAGATTTTACAAACTCAAATGTTAAACAAAGACATCAAAAAGCCTTTACTTAATTTATTATGAGGCATGTCGGTAACAATTTATGTCTCAAATCTTTCTAGTTTTGATTTGCCTAAATAGTGTTAGATAATAATGCCGATGAATTGATAGTTACAGGTTTTGTTATAAGTTTGTCACGAGCAAACTTAAGACGATAAATATTTTAAACGTTATAAATCAATAAATTGGTGTGTTACTTTTTAGTACGTAATAATATTATCTTAATAAGCTCGAATATAACAAATGTTGTCAACAAACAACAAATCTACTGATGTTTCTAGTATTCAAAATTTCACCATTTTCATGTTTAAATGTTGAATTCTGCCTAAGCCGGTGCGAGAAGGCATGGTCGTTACTTTGTTCCGTCCATGAACATGCTCAATCAAAAAGAACAATCAACATTTTTAGTTTTGTCGTTTTGGATAAATCTTTAAGGATTCCGTGTTCTCTATTTACAATGATTAATCAAACCGAGCATGCACCATTTACAAATTTTCCGTTTTTGGCGTACTTAAATGTTTCCATTGTATTTATATACTATGTTGAAGTTCTAAGTCTCCGTGATCTTAATGCACAAATATATATACATGATCAGGTGTGTTGTAAACTTACCTTTAGAAAGTAACACAATGGTATCTATAACATATCACGTAATTGGAATCGGGAAATAATAAATTTATTTATAATCAAACAATGAAACGAATCTTTCTGAATAGCTGAATAAACTTATAATTGTTTACAAAACCATAAACAAAACCTATGTTCAATTTCATATCGATATTAAATGACATGTTTTTGTCTGATAGCAGCCATGACGTTATTTGCTTTATTCTAAAATTCCTATTTTTTTGAATCTGCGTTCTTCTTGCATACGAAAATACGATGATGGAATTCTAAATTGTACGCAATGACGGTAAAGAAATCTCATATAAGACCTTTGAAAGGAAATGAAAACGGAAAAAAGAATCATAAAAGAGGGTACATGAGTGGATATTGCTAATGGACCACGTCCACACTCTTCATTGATATCTGCATTACAAAGAATGCACTCTATCGAATCAGAGGTAGCAATTATCCACTCAGCTTCAAAACAACAGAGAGGAAGGAATGCAAATATATTTATATGTTCTTTATTGATGTTGCGCAATAAATTGAAATTATGTAATTTGCAATAAATATAAAGGAAAGCATGCCTTTGCTTCTATATTATTATACCTATACAACTGTACAGATATGAAACGCTCTTTTTTCCTTTAAGGATAATTTTATTATTCTACCAAAGGACAAGAAAAGTGCAATGTCTTATTTGTTGCACTCTTAAAATGAGGTATTTAATCATCATTTTTATATAAAATAATTCAAAGGTTTGCACTTTGTATACGTTAATGCTCTTGCTGTTGAAATAATATGTTTAGATTGTCAGAAATATGTTTGGATTATAGACACAACGTTTTCAGCATTGTGTTTGAAATTGTCTCTTTGATATATCGAACCCTTGAAACCTCAAACCTCTCAATGCCTCAAATCCTAAGACAGGAAGCAGGAATGCATCTATTAGACACAGAGAGTGATAGTTTGTGCAAGTATTTTGAAACAATAGATTTTATATTGAAATTATAGTGAAATTATAATAAAATAGAGAAAAACAGAATCATTAAAGAAGGTCCAAAAATGACAACATTGAAAATGTTGTAGGCTGGGTTTTATTGAGCCTGTTTATGGAAGGTTATGGAAAGTGCAAGTTAAGCCGTTATTCATTTCTCATAATCATTCGACATGAGTGTTAAGTATAAAAACAAGAAACACACACATGTATACACATTGCTGTTATATAGAATTAGAATATTTAAGCTGATGTTATGTTTTTTTTCCAAAGGCTTTTCTCTTAGTGTGTTGGGTATTGTACGGGGAATTTCGGTGGGAACATTTCGATAAAACGTTCACGATTATATGTTAACAATTATTAAAAAGAAACAGCTTTATCTGTTCGGCTATTGGCAAACCATGAGGACACATTTAAAACATGAGCCCACACGTCGAGGGATTAAAAATGTCAGAAGAAAGGATTAAACTTTACTTTTGCATAAATGGCACCCTGAGTCAGGCATACATGTATTTAAAACGTGCAACGACACGTGATATTGTATTTAAATGAACCTTCTGAATATCTGCGTGCGTAGGTTTTGTGCAATAATCACTAGGAATGTTTGAATGACAACACTAGGATCAATTTTCCCACGAATGAAATCATTGTTCTTTCAGGGGGAAGTAAAAGGTATTTCAAAATTAAAATATTTTTTTCCGTCAGTGCAATAAGTATTTTTATTAGATTTGATTATAATTATTATTTGCTTCAGAGTTATACCTTAATCAAAGCTGTAAATCTACATGAACAAACAATGAAAAAACAATTAAATATTTTATACGTTAAACATGATAGATAAACATGATTAAGAAATTTTACACTGTATGTGATTTCTTGTTAAATACCAATTGGAATGATTTGCACGTACACTTCAAACTTGATACTTTTTCATTGCTTGCACGTGCTTTTTAATTAAATTTACAATTATAGATGCTATTAAGGAAAGAAATCCATCAAATTTGAAACATAATAGAAAATTTGAAACCTTTTCATTCAAATTGAAATTACTACGATCATGTTCATAAAGGTCATTATATTTGTTATTCTATGTTAAATTCAATTGTTTGTTTTTTTTAAGTATACAAAGGCAATTAATCACAATATATAATTGCCATTCTCGATTTCTATCACGACATTTACTGAGTAAAACATTAAAATTACTTAATGAAATTCCATTTACAATAACAAAATGTTTCCTGTCACGCTTATCAAGGATATTTCTTCCGGAATGTCCTTCAATTACCCATGGTCATACATGTTTTTATTGTAGAAATCAGAAAACAAATAATAGGTTTGAATGACGATACAGAGGCTTGCTTGTCTATCCACAACACGCAGATCGTATATTGGATTCTGTCTTGCGCTAGAAGTGGAAAGGCGGAAATTGTATGAGAGATTGTAGATTTCATTAAAGCTCCGTGTTAAGGAAATTGACGATCATTTAAAGATAAAATTTTATGACGATTGTCAGTGAATCGAGGCAGTAGTGCTTTTAGAAGACTTAATTGTTTTGACATTCTAACGTAAACAAAAAACTGGCTGTAATCATGAGTTATTCTAGTCGTGTTATTACATCTTAATAGCCTTATTTGTTTTAGCAAAATTGGACATTTAAAATACGAATTATAAATGCAATGTTTCAGAGCACGTAAACAGTTATACCATCGGACGTATTTTAACAGAATTTAATTATTATTATTACAGATTAAAGTATATATTATATCGTCTTATAATCATAAAAAATACAGTTATAATTATTACGCATATAAAAGTGGGGACAAAATCATAATTCGCTTAAAAATAAAGACGTTTTCCTTACATTTGGCTGTTGAAATTTAATTTCAACAAAGAGGAACTTTGATCAAAGGTACATGGTTTTTAATGATAACACATGAAAAAAACGTACAATCATTCCGAGAAAAACAATTGATAAAAAATGGAAATAAAGATAATGCATTGAAAATTTCCGTGAACTAATAAGATTAATATTATGATAGTATTTCTTGTTTGGATGACTTCTATGAATAATTTACGAAATACTTTAAAAACTTGTTAAACGTTTAAATAAATAAACAACAACAACAAAGCAACAGCAACAAAACAACAAGAACAAAAAACAACAAAAAGAAGATGGCATACATGGATCCTAATGTAACAAATTTGTCGGTGTCAAAAACCGTAGAAAACAACGAAACAACGCCAACAGAGGTTGTCATAGTTTGCTCCTTAATATTCATTTTAATTGGCGTCATTGGAATTGGCGGGAATTTGTTAGTGATAATTTCTGTGATGTGCAACAAGAAAATGAGGACGTCAATGACTAATCTACTGATAACAAACCTGGCTTTAGCCGATCTTATTATCATGATATTTGGTATACCCGAGATAATTGAGTTCATGAAGAACAATGGATGGACAATGAATTTATTGGCGTGTAAAATAAATCGCTACATACTTGTGTCGGCTTTGTACGGGTCCATACTGACGTTACTGGCACTTTCAGTGGAGAGGTTTGTGCTTTTGTTATTAAGATAGCTTATTCAGAAGTAAAAGAATTTCCAGTTGGTAATTTATAAGTCATTATTTCATATAAGAATTATATGTAAAATCAAAATTTAAAGAAGTCGAATGACTTTGAAAAGTGTGCTTTCATAAAAAAGAGCCAATGTTTATCTCTGAATTTTTTTGTACGATACGAGTGACTTTAAAGTAAAATTTAATTAAAATTAAAAAAACAAAACATTTTAATTCTTAATATTAAATGGGACAAATAATTCATAAAAATATTATTAATACAGTATGACTGCCTTTTGGTATTCTTAATGTTCTTTTTTACATACATCAATATTTTTATATGAGAAAAAGAAATAAAAACATCAACTTGAAGGTAAAGAAGAAAAAAATATATTTAAACAAGCTATTTGGATTTCTTTTCTCCGTTTGCGCTCATTTGTTTTCCTTAAAATTTAAAAGAAATGATATACAGTTTGTTTAAATGTTTGATTCTGCCTAAGTCGGTGCTAGGGGGCGTAAAATATAACTTGCACTTACCACTGATGGCCAAGATACTGCCCGATACGACTGAGATTGTAATTGCTTTTCAATTTTGTCATTTGTGATGTTATTTTTAAAATTCATTTCTATTTTCTTATTAACAGCATTTACCTTAATACTTGCTGTCCGGTATGTTCGCTCGCACGTACTGTTGTACGTGTGTATGATTTGTAACATGTATCTTTTTAAAATTAGGGGAAACAACTGTACTGTATGATAATGTTTAATCAGTTCCTTCATTATACAACGCCAAAATTACAAGAATTTGTCATATAATGAGTACAACCAAATGTTAGAGTCTTAACCTACAACACAGAAACTGGTGTAAAACAATAATCTACCAACTCGTATATGACTGACTTGTTTCTGCGCAAAAATAAAATTTGAAATCGAGAAAAATATGAAAAGGTAAACTATTAGTATACGATACTAATATCATCGCGTCAGTGTTTAATTTTCTTAAATACAATTATTGTTAAATATACTTTTTCATTAAAATCACCTCTGTAAGACTTTCCATGTTTGAATTCTCTATAATTTTTCTATAACGTTTACTAGCTGTCATTTAAAATATTTCTACTGACTTTAATTTGCTATTTTGTCATATTTTGTTTTCTGTTTAAGTTACTATTATGCTTCTGCAGAAATGTTGCGTTTGCTGACTTCATCATCTTGTTAACGCACACGGCAAGCATTTATTAACGTCAGTGATACAATTTTTCTGAAGTAAAGTAGACGATTAATTTGGTCTTTAAGCGTTTTGTCTGGCCATTATGAAAGCCTATATTGGCCTGAATTAATTTCCTAAATTACCTGATACGCCGAACAATGACGAACAATCTAGAGAATACAGAACATATTCTGTCATTTATGCTTTGTCAATTTGTAAAGTGATTATTGTTACAGAAAGCTTTTATGTACTGCCAATAAAATGTGTAAAGGTATAGGCGAAAAACATGAATCATTGTTAAGTTGGTAGACTGATTAATATGCCATGTTCCAACTTGATATGTCCGGTCATATCAGGTTTAAACGTATTCAATACATGTCAACAAAGGCACAGGTGCTCATAACCTGTTGTCCGTTTTTAACTCTTAATTGGTTTTTGATTAGAAAAGATACTTTCACGCGTTTACTACTCAATCGTTTATCTTAGAAGAGATACTATATAAAACATAATTCCTTATAACGTCATTGGAGATATTTAAAGATACGACAGCTTTTAGCTTCAATGCTACATTCCTCGCATAAATTGAAATTGTTCTACCAAATATATACTCCTGACCATTTGTTACATTGTAAATTCTGTCTTTCTCATTTGCTTTGGTTGATATTTAATTTTCAATTTAGCAACAATGAATTTATGATATAATAATATTGAAGGAAAAATATAATTTGTTATTTTTACCATTTCTCAAATGAACTGACATAAATTATATGTTGACATGAAATCATATTTCTTGCTTTTCAATAGTAATCTTACTATCAAACTAATATGTTTCTAACTTAGGGTGTAATAAGATATTTTAAAACATTTTATAATTTTATCATGAAATACCTTTCAAAAGGTATCTTCTTCAGCAACGAGACATAGGTATGGGTGCATGTAAAGTACTTATTAATAAATATTAAATTAATTTTAATAAATAAGAAAAATATGCTATAATTCTTGTCAGATTAAAATGGAGAGTTATCAACGTACTTGTATGACAAATACAATAATACAAACCCAACTAGAAAAGTTTTACTAGCATTATTAAGCAGTTTCAATACCAAGATTTTATTATAACTATATATGATTATTATCATAGTTAAGTTAATGAATAATTGCAATGTTCTCGTTAATAAGAAAAGGCATCGCTTCATTCCTTATTCCTGCTTTGAAATGCATTTTGTAACATTCAAATTTCATGAAATTGTAACTATATTTTTTAAGATGATGGGATAGATTGAGAGGAGGAACTGAAACTGTGATTATTTTATGTTTTGAAAAATAAATCATAGAAATCATATTCCGAAATATAACATTTACTTTTATGAAATGATTGTTATGCAGAGCTATTTAGAAAGGAAAGTAAGTAAGGGAGTAAATCATAATTATAATATTTCTTTATTTTGAAACACTCAGACGCCAATATGACGTCATTATTACTAAAAGTACAACCATTGCCAATAACAGAATTAATATACGTTACAGAATGAAACTAAATAAACTATGTTTTAATGTTTAATTTTAGACTATTTTCATATTGTACATATGTAACGTTGTTTTTTTATTGAATAACTGTGCTATCTAATCTACATACAGGACTCTGTAAATAAATAAAGTAACCATGTTTTGTTTTCTTGGAGAAACTTATGTTTAGAGTATAATGAAGGCCATATAAAATCTTAAAATGGTCTTTTGTTAATGGTCAATTTCAGTATAAGACGTGTCTGAAAAAGTAATATAGGCTTACAATTGTTTGTATTGTACCATATATAACCAGTCAAAAATTTGTATTACTTATAACATATTGTTTGTTTACCATTTGTTTATTTATTATTTGAAATGTTTTGATAGAAATAATTGTTCTGTGTACAATCTATGTGTTATAGCTGGATATCGCTAATATACTAGACTGTTTTAAAAATTAAAATGTGAAAACTTCATGTCTCGAAATAAGCTATTCAAGAAAATTAAACATCATGGAAAATGAACATTTTAAGAAAAGTGAAATGATTCAAGACGCAAGTATTAATTAACCTGCTATGCGCTATTAATAACCGATATTGCAGTATCTATTACCATATTTCTGTGTGATTAACACAGTAATAGTTTGTTTTTGATTATTTTGACATAGTTTGGTACTTTACGTGGATTGTTAAATTGTAAATGCTGTTTGCAATCATGTATAAATCATTTTCTTCACATCACACTATTTTACTCTTAAATTCATTTTCAACCATTTTCATATATAAACATAAGTATAAATCCGTGACTTTAGCGGATCATAGAATAAGCATTATTAAAATGATTTCTAAATTGAAATGAAATAATTTAGAGTCGGATATACTAATAGTTTAAACACTGGTGCTTCTATAATACAATTAAAAACGATGATGATGATGATGAAAATAATAATAATAATTATAATAATAATAATAATAATAATAATAATAATAATAATAATAAATATTTCAAAACTTTCACTGTAAAATTAAGTTTGTTTTGTATACAAAGTATATAATTCGTACATTCGGCGTTTATTTAGATTTTGTTAGAAAATAGAACCTATTCTTAAGGAATGATTTCTTGTGACATTTAATACGTGTGACCTACATTAAGATATGTAAAATGTGTCATTTATTTTAACATAACACCGGATATAATTTGAACGGACGACTGGTTTATATCAGATAACGACATTTATCAAGTTGTTAACGGGCAAAATACGTGATTTTTCCTGTCAGGCTTTAAAATTGATTCCAAATTAATACGAGTGTTTCTCTTAAAAACCCAATCTATCCAATCCATTCTGTAATTAGGCGTTAAAGATTGATATTTATCAGAGAAAAACTGTCTTTCCTTCGGAGGATAAAACAATTGCCAGATCATTTAAATGAACGCTTAATGGTCCAGGATGATTATTTGTTATTCACGTCGTTTTTTTAAACTTCCAGAACAAAACTGGGAATAAGCACCTTAATGAAATATCCCCTAAAAACGTGTGAAAACTCAAATGGCTGTGTAAAAAATGAAGTCATTTTGCCAAAAAGGGAGAGAGAAAAATATATCACTAGAATTCACAAATAAGATCTTTTGATATAATGATAACTACAAAACTACAACATGAAAGATAATAAACCTCCATACCATTATTTTTTCAAAGTGTTTGGTTTTATTAGTTGAATTTTTATGCCGAATTTAACACATTTTTAGTCGAGCCACCTAATCGGCTTTCTCTTGATAAGTAACAGTAATTTCAGATACCACCATAAGTGACAAACTATTCATTCAACATAATCTCTGAATAAGGAAAGAAAGATTTATAAAGAAAATATGGTAAAAAGTTATCCCGGCTACATACAAACCGATCAATCCTGCTTCAAAATAATCTGGCTTTGAGCTCCAAGTCGATGCCGCACCGAATAAATAGATAAATAAATAAATAAATAAATAAATAAACAACAAAAAAAACAAACAAACAAACAAGTAAATAAATAAATAATAACAATTAAATACCATTAGAAATTATTTTAGTCTTTATGAAATTTTGTTGTGATTAATGCTTCGGAGGTATCACTTTTTTCCAGATTTTTTTATTCTAAATGATTTTATATAAATTGACATTTTAACATTTTTATTTTTAATTTCAGATACATAGCGATTATTCACCCGATAAAAGCTCACATATTTTGTAACAAAAGAAGATTAGCGGTGGTACTTGGATGCATTTGGCCTTTTGCCTGGATTGCTGGGTTACCTACTCTATTGTTCAACAAACTTGACCAGAGTGGACCGGACCAACGCTTAAAATATTGTATGTTACAATTTCCTGGAAATCACCTGGACGTTTTCCTCGTGTTTAAGTACGTTGAGTCATTATTGTTTTATTATATACCGCTTGTACTTCAGATCACTTTGTACTGTAGAATTTCGCGACATCTTTTCATAGGGACAGACCGGTTGTATAGGATAGTCCATACGAGGGACCTCAATGGAATGCCTGCCGAAAGGTTCTCCGAGGCATTACAGGCAAGAAGAGGTGTTGTGAAAATGCTTATCCTCAGTGTCTTTGTATACCTATTCAGCTATTCCCCGCACCAGTTCTTACTTATCTGGAATACATTTGCACCAAAAACATTTCATGAAAATTGGACATATCTGGTATTTACAATGATCATTGCCTACGTCAATTCGGCCGCTAACCCCGTATTGTATAGCATTTTCAGTCAAAACTTTCGTCAGTGTTATAAACAGTTCGCATTTTGTGCCATAGGGATGCGCAAGGAAGAGAGTAAGGCAAGGAGCAGACCACCTTCTACTAACATTCACGGATCTCCAAAATTGTGGCGACATATGAGTACAGCTACAGCGTCAACGAACGTATAGATGAACAAGTCCTTTCAAACTTGAATATTTCATTTTTAACCCTGTGAAAGAAAGTAAAATTATTGCTGATAATTGAATGACGTCAATTTTGATTTTGTGTTTTTCTAAGTCAGGATTACGTGGAAAATTGTGTAATAATCTATGTTTTATAAATAGTCTTGGTCTTTGTCTTTGGTCTTTTACATATTATGTTTTAAATTGATTACATATAAAACAAAGTGCTACAAAGTAGAGCGACATTAAATTGATGCGTCACCAAACGAAATAATTTTAAGAATATCTTTGGTGTGAAAGTCAGTTACAAAAGTGTGATTATAATGTCATAAAGACAATATTAACGACTATAATTGATCTTTTTCAGTTTGTATTTGTATTGTAAGAATATTTCGCATTTGATCTTAGCATTCTGTACCTTTAGGACAGAGCTGGTTTCTGTAAAATGTTACCCTGTACTTCATTTCAGTGCTTTTTGTATGTTTCCCTTCCATTCAGTAAGATAACTGATTCCAAACCTTCCATTAGAGGATTGAATACGCAATTATAGTCAGTACTAGGGACCGTGATTCCTTCAAAATTCAAGAGACGCGAAATTTCGACAATTTGGTTTTGTTTTTATTGCTACCTAAGCACCTTACATTTCAAAAATTGTTATTGAAATGACAACAACGTGTATATCTACGTACATATGATGTAAATAAATTTGTCTTATTTTAAGAAGTTTCTACAGTTTATCAATGTATTCCTGACATAATAATGTTCGTATAATTCATTCTTAATAAAAAAGTCGTGAATAAAAAATAAATAACCACCTCTTTACTTAATTAAATAATCATAAATGCAATGTTACAGAGCTGTACTCTTTTTATTCAACATTTAAATGCTGTTAAAATAAGTGCAGATAAAAATTCACAATGCCGGTGGGACAATGGTTTGTTAATATTTATCTATGGCTCTCAGTTTCATGTTCTTATATGAAAGACAAGATCAACAAGGAAGGGTGACATTTGATGAACGCAACCCCACACGACCCAACAACACAGAAGCACTGGTAAGGAGCATAGCAGAACACCAAGCAAAAACAGGACAGGGCACAAGGCAAATCACGGACGGGATGTGAATTGAAAAAACACCGAATTAACAGGAGTGATAGAAAAACCGAAATCAAAGACGATGGTTAGTTAATAGGTCTACAAAAGTAAAGGGGTGTAGGGGAAGTGACTAGATGCCCGGGGAGCGTGTGTGTTGGGAAGACTTGGAGAAAAAACTAGAGAAAATGGAAGAAACTTACCGTAAACTACACAACCATACTATTAAATATGGAAAGGAGTCGTTCCAATAAAAATCCAGCATTACAATACCTCCTGCAGCAGTAGGGCAACAAACAAAACACATGAGAAGGGCAAAAGAGGCAAGTACAGGGCGTAACAAACTCTCAATCAAGTCAATCATAGGACAATAAACAAATTAAACCTTATTATCTTAGCTTTGTGCTAAGGATCAAACCTGACGACTGGTCAAAATTAAAACAAGCTTAGTGATTTAACTATTCAGATAAACGTATGTATGCGCGACATGAAAAAACCTCAATCTGAATTGGAATGATGAAACAGTTTTTCGTTATCGAGATGAAACATATTTTCTTATGTTCACCGACCTTTTCTAACGAGAAATAGCATTGCTTTTTTATTCTCATTTTTCAACTTTTATCTTGATAAAAACAGAAATAAATCACGGTTTTCGAATTTAAAATCTTGATGAAAGAAATTTTGCAGACCTTTTTAGGTCCCTTAGCTCAGTGTCTAGTCGCTATTTTCACCAGAAGGTCATAAATCATGTTATAAATTGTATTTCAAATTTGCAAGATAAATTGCTCGTAGTCTCTGTTTGACTTAAAGCATAATGACTAGTCAACAAGACGATAACTCTGTGGTTTATGGATTTTAACAGTGCATTTGTAGTACATCTTATAACATTCAAATCCCCTGACGCTACTGTTTTCAGAGGATTTAGTCTGTTTATAAAGGGCATACCATTTGCATCTGCAGGATACTTAAAAAAAAGTTTTTAAAGATGCACGCAATAGTTTAAGCTTGGCATGAAATGACATTCAAAATGTCAATCTTTTTAAATTGTAGACACTTTTTGATTTAAGTTGCAGTTGTTTGGAAAAGTGCCAGTAGGATACATTTTATGAATGTTTTGCTGGCATGCAATGATTTAACTGATTATCTTTAAAACACATGGGCACAGCTTTAAATAAACCAAATTACACCATAAAAATAGGCCGTTAAATTATGTAGAGGACTGAAACAATTTTAAAAGCCGGGAAAAAAAATATAATATAGGTACATCTTAAAGAACATTTAATGAACCATTTTCAAGATTCAAGATCTATTTTAGGTTATGTTTGCTAGAATGGCTGTTGTTTTCTTATCTTTTTTTGTGTTGAGCTTAACATGAAATGATTCATTTAAACACAGAAAACAGACTAACAAAATCTCAGTTTTATAATCGTCATATGCCTTTTTCCAAAGGGACGTGTACGTAACACGTACAAAACGTACATTGATGTTTTGATATAAAACAATAGTAGAATATCAATTAGATGTATCCATACAAGCAATTACAATTGAAATCAGTTCAAACTTCCAAGTTATTTAATTGGCGTAAGCCTACTGGTAAGGGATCCATTGCTGTATTTCTCATTTTCTTCATATAAATACATCAAGGAAACCCTTATAGCAGAACAACTGAGAAGTTTTTAACTAATTTCAGGTGAAGTTGTTGTAACAAATACATGTAACAGTAAAATCATTTTCTCGTTTTGAAACTGAGAATTTTATTTATAAATCTCAAAATAAACTACATCAAGGAAACCCTTATAGCAGAACAACTGGGGAGATTTTAACTGATTTCAGTTGAAGTTGTTTAAACAAATACATGTAACAGTAAAAGCATGTTCTCGTTTTGAAATTGAGAATTTTATTTATAAATTTCAGAAAAAAACGTTGTACAATACAAGACGCTTTAATTTAACAATCATGAAATCATACCATTTATCTGATGATATGTTAAATGAATTTAAAAAAAAAAAAACAAGAAAAAAAAAACAAAAACAAAAACATTTCACTCACGATAAGCTTTACATTTACTTTCAAAAGATTTTTAATTTTAATAAGATATCCATTGTAATTCTTAAAGCATAATAACAATCATCATTTTGATAAATATAATTATTCATTATTCTATTGCAGTTGCTGTAATAATCTCGAAATATGTCTCTTAAGCGGCTTTTAGTTACATAGTAAAATGATTATTTGATTCCATTACTAAAAGAAATGATTTTGCAGTATATTTTCATCACAAAAAAGAGATTATGTTTTGATTTAGTCATCAATGGGTTACTTATCCCTTTTAATGAATTCAATAATGGCTAAAGGAATTATATGGTATATGCTGCTCTTTTCTAATCCATGCATAAAATATTATATTTTCTGATATTAAATTTATTTTTTAACAATGTGTGAATTGATATTAGATAAACCAATTATTATTTGGTAAATGATTTTTAAGTGTAATGAAGTACCATATTTCAATAAATAATATAAACAATTTGTAAAAACACAACGACCAAATTTTTCTGATAATTGATTCATATATGGAAAAAAGATTGAATTGCATTAAGATATACTAATAACATTTTCATATATTCTTTTAAGTTTATGAATGTAGAATAAAATAACTCAACGGACAAATTCATGTATAAAGCATCCGATTTTGTAAAATTTATACAATACATGTATTGTTCTTCCTGATTTTCACATTGGATTAAATTTGATATTAATTGAATAATATTAAACTCTACAAAATATTTGTATTGTTATTTAACACACCATTACTATCATATTATTATATCATCTGTAGAGATCTAATTATCTACGAGTAAGACGTGGAATTAATCATATATACAAATCACTCTTTTTAATATTAAATTTACATTTGATTTAAAAATTCCAAATGTAAAACGTGCAAAATATGTCCGTTTAACAAATATACCATTAGGTATGTTACTTGTCCGGAAAAGATTGTTTCAGATATATTGTTACACTTTTAAATTAATTAAATGAATAAACAGGTTTTCAAAATAGCATTAACTATTTGGGAATGAAATATTTACAGATTTTTTTTATAACTTCGCGTGAACGTAAAATGAAATATTCATCGTGTCAATTGTTACTTTCAGATTGATGCCAACATACTGGTGGTATATTCCACCATTGAGAATTTCAGAAAGTTCGTTGACTGTAATACAACAATGATAACCGTTTGTTGTCAGCCCCCAACACTTCGTAACATTCAAAGTATGATAAGAATAGAAATAATAGTTATATACTCATTCATGGCGTGTGATACACTATTTTACACCTTTAACACATAAAAACAAATGTTACTGAAAATGATGACTTTGTATTTAAAGCAACGACATTAAAAAAACCTAAATCTAAATTGGAATGATGAAACAGTTTTTCGTTATCGAGATGAAACATATGTTCTTATGTTCACCGACCTTTTCTAACGACCGTTCAGAAATAGCATTGGTATTTTATTCTCATTTTTCAACTTTTATCTTGATAAAAACAGAAATAAATCACGGTTTTCGATTTTAAAATCTTGATGAAAGAAATTTTGCAGACCTTTTTTGGTCCCTTAGCTCAGTGTCTAGTCGCTATTTTCACCAGAAGGTCATAAATCATGTTATAAATTGTATTTCAAATTTGCAAGATATATTGCTCGTAGTCTCTGTTTGACTTAAAGCATAATGACTAGTCAACAAGACGATAACTCTGTGGTTTATGGATTTTAACAGTGCATTTGTAGTACATCTTATAACATTCAAATCCCCTGACGCTACTGTTTTCAGAGGATTTAGTCTGTTTATAAAGGGCATACAATTTGCATCTGCAGGATACTTTAAAAACAGTTTTTAAAGATACACGCAATAGTTTAAGCTTGGCATGAAATGACATTCAAAATGTCAATCTTTTTAAATTGTAGACACTTTTTGATTTAAGTTGCAGTTGTTTGGCAAAGTGCCAGTATGATATATTTTATGAATGTTTTGCTGGCATGCAATGACTTAACTAACTATCTTTAAAACGCACGGGCTCACCTAACATAAACCAAATTACACCATAAAAAATACCTTAAAATTAGGTAGAGGACTGAAACAATTTAAAAACCCGGGATTAATTTAACAATATAGGAAAATCTTAAAAAACATTTAATGAACCATTTTCAAGATTCAAGATCTATTTTAGGTTATGTTTGCAAGAATGGCTGTTGTTTTCTTATTTTTTGTGTTGAGCTTAACATGAAATGATTCATTTAAACACAGAAAACAGACTAACAAAATCTCAGTTTTATAATCGTCATATGCCTTTTTCCAAAGGGACGTGTACGTAACACGTACAAAACGTACATTGATGTTTTGATATAAAACAATAGTAGAATATCAATTAGATGTATCCATACAAGCAATTACAATTGAAATCAGTTCAAACTTCCAAGTTATTTAATTGGCGTAAGCCTACTGTAAGGGATCCATTGCTGTATTTCTCATTTTCTTCATATAAATACATCAAGGAAACCCTTATAGCAGAACAACTGAGAAGTTTTTAACTAATTTCAGGTGAAGTTGTTGTAACAAATACATGTAACAGTAAAAGCATTTTCTCGTTTTGAAATTGAG